AACATATTTTGGAAAAAGAACAGAAATTATCGCAGGTTTCTTCAGAAAAAACAATGTGGAAGTAGCATTCAGACCACATGCCAGGTTATCCCTTCAATGCCAAAGATAAGGTCGACAAGTTGGAAAAATCTGGAGTTTATAAGCTTAAGTGTCCGGAATGTAATACTGTTTATGTGGGACAATGCGGACGAAATTTCCAAAAACGGTATGCTGAACATGAAAGGTCCTTCAGACTGGGAAAAAATGATTCGACGTTTTCAAATCATTCCTTGGCATGCAACCACAAGTTTCCGAATCTAAACGATACGGAAATTCTGCACTATGCAAGGAAGGGTTGCAAACTCAATTATTTAGAATCATTGGAAATTCACAAGCATAAACATTGCGGGTGCAACCTGTTAAATGACCAAATCGATTTAGTTTACTCTCCGGTTTTTAAATTGGCACATGCGCATTGTGAACTGTAAATTCATGTACTCAATCAAGTACCTCAATGGTATATATTAGCGAATGTAATGAATCATTCTTAGTTTATTGTTTAAGTTTGAAAATGTCCATATAGGACAAAACTGCAGTAACTTTATCACTATAAATATTTTTATTGTCAGTTAATTTTGCAAGTAAATGTAATGTCAATATCCAATATTCAGTTAGATATAAAGTCACTACTCTAACTTTCCCAAAGTTCTTGAATAGAGGCTTTAGGAAAAAAAAAGATATTTGGAATTTACAGTTCAGTTATTGAGCCTAGCAGTCTTCTGGTTTCTTTCTCGATCTTTTCTCAGCTACAATGCAAATGCTTTCTTTCACGACTGCGAGTATCCTATCAACTGCAACAGTTATGTATTGAAAATATCAATAATTTTTGGAAGAAAATCATTCATTTTTTTCGGAAGATGATATACTGAACACTGAATATGACCTAGTAGAAAATGTTAATGAGGAAGTGATATACTGAATACATTTCTAGTCTTTAAAATAATGGGGTTATAGAAAAAGAATTCCCATCATGAGGTGATTGATTTTTTTCTACGAATACTGTCACTTGTTCCCAACTACGAGAAATTGAAAAATGGCAATGAAAAATTTCAACGTTTTTAAATCATTGAAGTCATAAAAAAATCACCCCCCTATGTCGAATAATTAATTTTCTTCTCAGTAAACCGCCATCTGTCATCAATTTTGAGAAATTAAAGATAAAATAAACCGTAGGTACACTGAATTCTGTTTTTATTATTGGTTAGGTTAGATGATTTTGTTACAAGTGATAAATTTGTCATTTCTCAGGATTTCAACATACTGGAAACCAACAACATGTGTCAAAGTATTGTTGTAAATCATATCCTGAAAAAAGAATCACATCGACCGCCGCTGGTTGTCGTCAATCGATTGTGACTTGGTCAAGGTCGTGCTCAAGTCGCTTCGAAAAACTTCCAGGGATTTTCCTATCGGCTTCCAGAGATATTCATTACCATATATGAATACAACCAACATGCAAATCGAAAAGTCTAGTTGGAAGTACGGTACGAAGTGATTTAATAAGGTCGTATACATTTGAATATTACTTTGAAGTTTCTTTCAAAGTGTTTGTGTTGTATTGTCAATGTAGGAGTGAAATAAAGTTGAGATCAATTGTACATCGTAGTCAATTATTGTCAAACTCAAGAAAGAAACGAAACAGTATAACTGAAAGTTTTTCTAATATTTGAGGAATGATAATTATTGGAAAAAATAAAATAGGTAGATGTAGCATCATGCATAGCTAGGTATACTTTTTATTGATTCATGAAAAAGACTCGTTTTCGGTTAAGCCTTTTCCTTTGAAAAAACTACAATCAATCTTTATCACTTACATGAAAAAAAATGTTTCACTCAAAATAAATTGTGCTAATGAATCCTTGAAAATATTTGACCCATATAGAAAAACAAGTATAGAAAATGAGGAATTATTTTGAAAGTTTTCCAGATCCTTTCAAATTTACAAAGATAAAAAAAGCTTTGTATAAGACAAAAAATTCGAAGGGAAAGATTGGAAGTAGAGGTCGGTACAAATTACTTTTGAAGCAAATATTCTACTATTATACCTTCTGGATATACTCACCTCAGAAACTCATAGTACCCAACCAATTTCTGAACCTTTCGATATAAAGAAATATGTTTACGATTCGCAACTCTCACTATTACAATTTTCATCTGATATTTCTAACTTGTGCCCAAAATGTAGCAAATTCAAAGGTGCAGAAAATATGAATTGGGTAAACTGTAATCTCTGTATAAAATGGATTCATTTAAAAGTGACATACAAGTCAATTCACTTCCAAGGAGCCTTTACTCCAGAAGTTATATATTATTCCCATATTTGCACCAGTAATTTCAATGTGAAGTCGTACTTTGAATTAGAGCCTCAGGATATCATTTACAAAAAATGGACCATTTAACGTCTGATTTTCTTTGTTCAATTATGTTGTTGCACGATATAACTGTACTTTTAATCTAACAATTAACAAATTAGGACAAATTTTCCTATATTTCCAACAATATCTTCTCCCTACCTCTTCTGCCTGCTAATTCCCAAAATTATATTTTCAAAGGCGTTCCACAGATATGTTATGCTTATGGTAGACAATTTGTCAATACTGATTGACGAAATCGGAAGATATGGTACCGTATTGTTTGATATGTAGTAGATACTGTTGAGATAAATTACTTGATTGCAATTATTCTTTCGTATTATAGTATATGCATATGCTTGGTAGATGTCGACTGTTTTGTAATTCAAATGTGGTATGAATGAAGTGTTATTTATGTAGAATAAAAAAGAAAACAAATAATAGGTCAAGTATAAATAACAGTACGGGCTGAAACACATTCACTTTTTTCGTCATCATCGTTATATTATAAAGATGCAAGCAATAGTGTGTAAAGCAAAAAATGAGTCTCAATTCATTAGAAAGAAACTATCACGATGAATAACAGATACATGGACGAAACAGACAAATGCTTTGAATGCAAAACGTATAAAAGGATTCCAGAACCAAAGTTTTTTTATTGTTATATGAGTTTGATGATTTTATTCCTGTTTGTATGCCTATAGAAAAACATTATGGATTGTGACTTGAAGAGGAGTGAAGTCAACAGGTTCAACTGAAAAATAATTTATAAAATCACTACAATTGGCACAATGTCTGTACAAAGCTGCAAATGTACTTATTCTTGAAATTTTCATACCATTTCCTTCGTTAGAATATTGCAAAGAACAAAAAACGTATTGATGAAAGATGGTCACATAAAATACTATTAGTGTCAGTCATAACTTTCGAAAAAAACATGTTTCAAATTACAATCACTCTATACAGTTCACTAGGAGCCGAAAGTACGCAAAAATAGAAAAAATATATACTTTTCAATATTTTGGTCCTTCGAGCTGAGGTGAACGTAACGGAAAGGAGTACGTAAAGAAGTTTTTCTCATCCGACCTTCTTATACCTATTATCAGTTGGAACTGAACGATATATGACAGTAACGATATTTTATTTGACAATTATTTGTCTATCACGCCATTATTTTGGAGATATGAAAATTCAGTGTTCAGTATATCATTCCTTCATTTACGTTTTTTACCGGTCGTCGAAAAAATATTCATCTGACGTGGGGAGTATGTTTTTTTTTATCAGCCATTGATTTAAAAAACGAAAAAGTCAGTGTTTAGTATATTACTTGTTCTTCAACACTTTTCACTTGGTCGTATCGGGGAACGTGACAGTTAACAGAAAAAATACGCCATTATTTCAGAGAATCGTGTTCAGTACATCATTTCACTAATAACAGTTTTCACTTGGTCGTAAATGGGGACTAATTGAACTGTAGACTGTTCGAAATATCAAAAATTTTCGGTTTCGGAGCTATCCATTTTTTTTTTCACTGATGGGCGGTTTTTCGTGTAACAGAACAACTGGGACCCGCGTTATTAGGTTATTGGTGCATTTGTCTTGTGCCTTCTTGAATAATTTTTTGAAGTCTCTCTTCAGCTTTCCTTACTACTCCTCTCCAACCCTTGAATTTTTCAATTCCTCTTATATATGAATACCTGTATGTAATATGGAAATACTGCAACCGTGATTTTTATTAGAACATCAGTACTTGAGTAAGTTAAGTGGTTTTAAATGTCACTTTGTAAGTTTCCTCATAAAAGCCCAATTGCATCGCATCTTGCTTAGTTCTGATGAGAAATAAGTTCAACTTGAATAAGCATAGTTGAACATTTTTGAATTTGAAAAAAAAATAATACTTTTTTTAATGAAGTTGTCCAAATGATTACAAAAAAATCTTATGGCAACACTTGTCTGAATATTGTCTATGAGGTGATTTTTTCTCAGCATTCATGTGTTTTCACTCCTGACCTAATCCGTTTGATTCCACCCAGAGAAGCGTTCAGCTTAGTACTGCTACCTATCGTTTGGAATTCCAATTGAACACACATTGAACTATATTAGTTCCAACTTATCACATTTGAACTACATTTTTTAGAAATTCTTTCATTTGCGAAACGGCCTTATTGTCAAATGAACTTCCTGACATGGTTTTCCCAAATGAATTTAATCAACAGCGATTTGTATCCGAAGTGAATTATTGGTGTTCCTTTGATTTAGAGACATCATCATTCAAATAATTCAGTTAACTTATGAAATATCGCTTCTTACTGAATATGAGAGTCAACCAATAACAACGAAACTTTTTTATTATGATATGTATTGGAAAATTTTTGTCAGATTTTCATAAAAAAAAATTATACCGTTCAATTCGAGGTAGTATACCCAGTTTTCAATGATAATTGCTATCGCCTACAGACCGTAGGACGAGTTATTCAAAGTTTTGATTTTGCATAACTGCCATCAATTACCTGAAGATTGCTAAACAAAAACTAAAATCTTGAATATGACAACGCCGGTGTCTATTCTTCTGTTATCATTACTTCAATATATCACTACACCCAAAGCACACCTGAAAATATTAAATAATACTCACGTTCAGTTCCAGTACTACACCAAGGCAATAGGTTGTAATTGAAATAACATAGGTAATTGCGATAATGCTCAAAGTGAGAAGGTAATGTAGCTTTTCCGACATTGGTACATTGGGATCTCTTCCTATTATCGTTGTCTCAATGACTTCTCTTGTTACAAAACATTCAATCGGGAAAGTAAGAAGAATTTGGACGCTGAATAACAAGCGGCTAACATTCATGAGATCGTCGTCCCAACAATAGTTCTCCAAAAGATCCCCTAAACATTCAACAGTTTCAGCTAAGGAACTAAAAGTAATGTAAGTTATAGAATAATCATCATGAAAGCAATAAATCATTTTTTTTTTTCATTTTTGTGCTTTTTCTGACAAGATATAAACCAGCACCTAAAATAAATCATTAGACAGCGCTGTTTTGACGTATAATTGGTCTCTTTAGTGGTGCTTGGCTGAACCATAAATGCATTGTTAGACTCATTCTTTCTCAAAAGATATTCATGAGTGAAAGTAACGATATCTTTTAACTGACTTACTTATATTTTTTATCTTTATTTATTCCTAAGTTGTTACTATTTATGTCTTCTCTTTTATAAACTTAACTTTTACTCTTTTATATATGTTGGAATATATGCGTAACTAGCATATATACTACCGGAAAATGTAGATGGCGTTTGTCTTGTAAATGTACCAAATACGGATAAAATTTCAGCTTTTCGACAATTTTCTTCACGAATGGCTGAAAAACCCTCAGCCTGGAGATATTCGACATACTCGTATTCTACCTGAGCTGAAAAGTCTCGGGCCTAACAGAAAGCTATTGAAATTTCGTCATATTCTACTCATAGGTTTATGATAAATCGTGCTAAAAGTGACACTACTTTTGTTATTTTCAAAACAATTAATCAAAAAAAATCATGTTTTGATTTCAAACTGCTTCTTGATGAAAAAAAAACTGTACAGGCGAAGCAATGGCCTGAATAGTGTTATAAGGACCAAACTTGGTCGTAGAGACACCGATGATGCAAATCGCAGTGGACGTTCAAATGAGGCAGTAACATCAGAAAACAAAAAACACAAAATAGCATAAAAATCGGCTGGAAAGGTTATGGTCTTGGTATTTTGAGATGTGCGTGATGTTGTATTCATCGACTATCTTGAAAAGGGAGATACCATCAACAGTGAATATTATTGGAGCGTTTGGAGGCCGAAATTGCAAAGGAACGACCTCATATGGCAAAGAAACAAAGATTTTTTCATCTAGACAACGCACCGTCAATCAAAACAATGGCAAAATTTCATGAATTAGGCTTAAAATTGCTTCCGCCTCCACCGTATTCCCTAGGTATGGCCTTCAGCGACTTTTTTATGTTTGCAGACCTCAAAAAATACTCACCGGTAAGAAATTTTGCTCGAATGAAAAGGTTATTGCTGAAACTGAGGCTTATTTTGAAGTAAAAAATTGATCGTTCTAAAAAGTGGTATTGATATGTTAGAGCGACGCTGGAATGTTTATGTGACTCTTGATGGAAATTAAGTTGGTCAATAAAGCCAATTTTGAAGAAACTCTCCAGAGTATGCCTAGGGGCTAAGCTCTATACATGTGAACGATATTCCAATAAAGGTCTGATCTGAGCTTTATGAAGCATCAAAAGTTGCTGATGTTTGTATTCAGTCAGATAACTCAATTCACGAATATCAAAAATACACTAGACTCGCGTAGGCGATCAGTTGCAAAGATTTGGGAAGCTGTGTTTATTTTTAATATTCCGGAACTGAGTTTTTTTCGATCCCATAGATAGCATCTTTGGGATATCATCGCCCTCTCTTACTCAAGTTTGTCCTTCGAAGAAATGCACTTGTGGTTCAGCCTAACATCACTGATGGGACCTATGGCGGGTCAAAACAGCACAGTCTGTCTGGTGTTGATGCGCTGTGTATGGGTTTAAGTTTTCAAAAATGTCCATATTTGGGGTACATCAACTCATTTGAATAGTTTATCTTAATGTAAATATTGTTTTTGATATTTTTTTGGTAAACATAGTATTCCAGTTCATCGTAAACCAAGAAGAAGATTTGTTTCAGTTTCGTCTCCATTAAAGAAGAAATATGTATAATAATATTTATAAAAAAAATTATCTATAGATTGCTTTCTCCTTGAGGGATTCCATCAGATCAAGAATATGAGAATGGGAAATAGTGCATTTTTCATTATTACGTCTTCCGGTCGTTGTGATTCGTTAGTAATATACTTGCCTCCATAATCACACGTTGATATGCCGGTGATTTGCACTCAGACAGCATATAATCTAGAAACTTATGGAAAGTGATGAATACTGAGAAAATTTAAAAACATGTGAATACGGCGTGGATGACAATTCTATTGATCATTATCTGGTGCATGGAATATTGAAAAATCATTTCAGACAGAAAATAACGGATGAAGGGTGTTGAATTATTTGTTATCTAATACAGAGTACAAATTTTGGATGAAAATAGAAATGAAATAAAATAGTTCGTGAAATCTAGAGTGTTCACTTGAGAATCTAGAACGTTATACAGAGTGTTTAAGTTCAGTATATAAATTGATGAATTTTGTGAGACACGTTATAGCTGGCAGAAAATGATGATTATACTGTGTTGGTCTACTTGATAAAAAATTTAGGGTGTTGAATGTATTTTTTCAGACGCTGAAAAAGAAGGAAAAGGTGTGAGCCCAGGGTGCTTAAGACACAGTGTTCCAACTATAGCATGAAAATCAATAGATAATAAATGAGCAATATCTAAAAAGTTGTTACATTGGATGTTGGAAATATTCACTGTTATTACTGAAAACGAATTTTCTTATGCAGAATCGAGAAAATTATATATTTTCATGAGAAATATAGAAAATTTAAAAAGTTATAGAGAGTGCTGTGAAAATACCAAAGAATGAATTTTAAAAACATTCTATTGTTGGCATATGTTGGAAAGTGCGAACTAATGTAGCGTATTTCCAGCGGAATAAAATGAAAGTGAGTTCATGAACCTAGAGTGCTCAATTAAGAAAAATGTTATGAATGCAAAGTGTTCGAGAATATGGAAAATCATAGACTGCTGCATCGCAAATAAAAAACATCACATCAGGCAAAAATAATGTTGAAAAAAGTTATATCTACAAGTGCTATAGCCAAGAGTGTTGTATTGTACTGAGAACGCTTCAAATTTCCTACTTCGCATCTACCTATCTGCATCATCATCGATAGCAAAATATGCCACAGGTTCACACTGTCGCATTTGTTCTGTCTGTTTTTATTGAGTTATGAAAGCCAAGAAAACTAATCCATCACTTCAACATTTGGATGTAGCAATAATTCTGACAGACTATGTGATTGTTCATTATATTTGCAATTAATTTCCTTAAATTGTTATTCAAAAATTCATGAAAGTGTTTTTTTTTTGTAAATCAAATTATTGTTTTTATTTGCTATTTGGAAATTATTCTGTGGAAGACACTACAGCCTAATTGTTTCATTGTGTTTTCTGACAACCATTGAACCATTTTTTACTAGTTTATATGTTTAGGTCCCATTAGTGTAATCGTCATTGCTCTACTTATTTACAGAATGCAAGTCTTTGCAACATGCTTAGTTTGTTAATAGCAGTAGCTCGTTTCATCTTTGGCTACCAAATCAAAGAAGCATTTTTTATTATGGGTTCAGCCACTATCGATTATATCAAAATATATCTCTGATTCCAACTCTCGTGTCTTCCCTCAAGTACGTCTGGCCAGCATCAGTGCTAGCCGAGTCTTTTTGTTTCCTCTGTAAATGTTGGTTCCAGCACAGTCTTGGATCTTATATCATACCTAGGTATTCAACACCCGCCATTTATTGTTTCTCCCGAAGTTGAACAGGATTACATAGTATGGTCGATTTGGATGAAATGTTATTTGATTACTAGTCCTTTCTCATTCAATTTGCCCTCTTCAATATTTTCTTAATATATTACCCACATTAGTTAGTCAAAAACTGTCCAATCATCCATCAGTGTCGGATAGATTTACTATACAAGATCTGCTTGAAATATAATCGAATACCGCTGATATGTATATATTTCAAGATGCAAGATTGAGATTGGGAAGAATTTTGCAACTGGTTTACTACCAGATATCTACCAAACTTTCTTGAAATTTTCAATGGACAGTTTATAAAACCACGAGAACCGTAACATGTGTTCCGCATCCAATAGCTTTCACAAGCGTTTTCTTGGGTGGATCATACCCAATGTAATGCGACACATGTTATGGTTTTGTGAACTATCCGGTGAAAATCTTCCAATACATTGTTACTATAATAAATCCATAACATTATTCCATTTTTTTTATTTTGATTTAGAATCGGGATCATTTCATTTTCTGACCAACTTGAATAGAACTGGTTATTATATAATAGTTACAAATATCAAATCTTTACAATCCGGGTAACAACTTAACGTGAACACGCTATTAAAAAAACTCACCTTGAGAATATGCTTTGAAAGTTGTATATCCAGCTATACCAAATAAAACAGCAACAAATAAACTGGTGGCTATAGAAGCATGAGTTACTACTTCCCATTTCTTCTGGTTGGGATCTGTGATAGATCCATATATCAGAAATGTATTATGGTGACACATGAATGCTGAAAATTATATCCAGTTGATTTTTTTTAATCAAACAAATTTTTACAAGTATATTCACACATGCCAAAACTCCAGCACAATTCTGATAGAACTCAACAACAATAGGTCAATAAATATATCAAACTCTTTTTTTTCTGATTGATTCGGCCGTTACTTGATGAAGATCCATGGTAATTTCATAAACTACACCTCACGATCTAATCTCCACAAACTTTTGGAGTTTGTGGAAATCAAATCGTGAGGTGTAGTGTATGAAATTATTACTCATTGTCTAGCTAGATCAAATATCTAATGTGTTGAACATTCTGTGGAAGAAATCAATTTAGTCACCTGAAATGTTTCAAAATGTTTAAATAGTTACAGCTTGTCAAATCTAGAAAGCGACTTCGTTTTGACTTAAGACCTTCCCTAAGATGCACACGGTAGAAAATCCTTAAAGACGATCGGAGTTCGATCATAACGACAAGTATAGAACGTGACAGAAGTCTTTGTTCTAAGGAAATGACATTCGAATCAAAATTGAAACGATAAGTTTTGTGTGGTCGATCGAAAGAACTGATTGCTAATGAACTTCATTTCATGCAAAGAGATGCTGATAATGGCATAAGCATGGATCTGAAAAAAGTTCAATAGTGTGAGTTTGGGTGGCATTAAAACGATAGTTCGTAAACTGAAAACAACTGAAAATGGTGAGCCATCCTCTTTTTCAACGCCTAATAAAAAATACATAGAAAAACATCAAAATCAGATGTTGATGTTTCATGCATCTTGATGAATATATCTCCTGAAAAATTTTCATTTTGAAATTTCATCTCCAACCCAAATAAAGTACATTTTCAGAATGGGTCTTTAGTAATATAGCTGCAAGAGTTCTAAGCCATTCTTTATAGAAAAACATGCAAATTTGAGTAGGTCCATTCTGCCAGACCTCAGGCCCAGTTCACATGGAATGGACAAAGGTCCGCGCCTCATCTCTGCCAGACGTCAATTCTGTGTAAATTAGGCCTCAGACTTTCAGAGCTCACTTCTTCACTTTTGCCGTCATTCAGTCAACCAATCAGCTAGGCGGGTTCTGGCCCACTTCAAGGTCGTGCGTCGTTGGTAAGTGTTTCAGACAGAGACTTCAGTGGGTGAAAGAGAGAAACGTGTGACGTAATATTGGAAGTGATTGCGAATTGTTGATATTCATAGCGTTTGTTTTGTCGGGACCGAAATTGACTTTATTCTCTATACCTGACCACATTTTTTTGGTTCCGTGGAATTTTGGGAAAATTGTAACGTCATTCCCTTGTGGAAAATTGAAAAATTTTCATTAGATTTGGGAAAGGATTGATGTTTCATATAAAGTTGTGTGTGTGTGTTAGAGTGAGAAACACATGTGACGTAATCAATGCAAAGAGAGATGGAGATGGTATCGAGGTTATACGTCGCTAGGCCGAGCAGGTGTTGTCGGTTGTAAAATAACTCGCTGACCATGGGGTGATGTAGCGTTGCCAGTTTCAAAATTAGGCACGAACGGTTAGGAATACATCCCGATAAATCAGATTTAAGAAAAAATATGACAGTTTAACATTTCAATGTGTGATCCCTCAATGTGTACAGGGTGTCTCAAAATACATCATTTCAGAAAAAATTGTAATATGGTATATACAGGACGTTTCAAAATGCATCATCTAAAGAAAAAAAATGTCTGTTTAGCAGTAGTTTAGCGTTTCAAAAGTCAGATAGACACTCAGTCGTTTCTTCGTTAACCAAGTTGGCTTCATTAGGAGAAGGAGAAAATGGCACCCAAAGTCGAGGAGTTACGTGTTGTGGAGTTAACTTTTGATGGTGGAGGCAATGGGGGAGAATTCGATAATGACAATTCAAATACGTTGTTTTGCATACGTATCTATCGTTATACGTGCTTTTCGACCTTTTTGCGTGCGTTTCGACTGTTTTGGCGTGCGTTTTGACCGTTTTACGTGGGTTTCCACTGTTTTACGTGCGTTTCGACCGTTTTGCGTGCGTTTCAACCGCTTTGCGTACGTTTCGACTGTTTTTGCGTGCGTTTCGACCGTTTTGAGTGCGTTTATTCGTCATTATTTTCGTTTCGTTTTCCATTTTTTCGTGTTTCAATATAACAGTCATCTGTCATCTATTATTTAACGCGTTTCGCTAATCAAGTAAGTATTATCGGTATATGACTAAAGTCCATGCTTCGTCGTATAAGAGTTCATTTTGCGAATTATCGGACGCCTGAACAGAACCTTGTGGAACACTTAGCCTAACTTATGATACAGAGTAGTGTCGGACAGTCAATCAGAATGGAGGGAACAAATATCGGTTCGTTGATTGTGTTAGATGAATATGAGGGTCGAAAAACTTTGAAAGTTGCGTTTTTAGCGTGGAAGGTGGTAGCGTGGTAGAAAATGTGTGATGATTTGTGAAAATGAATGAGTTATTACAAAAAGATGAAAGGTGGCGCAACTGTCAGAAGGGCACTAAGTTGTATATTCGCTAATAATGATCGGATCGTCACGTACAGCACGTTAAATGAAAGAAGAAGAAATGAAGAATTAATTGACAGAGAAAAAACAAAAGTGGCGCAACATGTCAGAAGGGCACTAAGCCACATCTTTGTTATTGATAGTTGGATCTTAACGTGCAGCACATCAAATGGAGGAATCAATGCAGAATGTATCGACGAAGAAAAAACAAAGACGATACCAACAGGGCACTAAGCCACATCTTTGTTAATAATAGTCAGATCGTCACGTACAGCACGTCAAATGAAAAGATGAGAAATGTAGAATTTGTCGATTAAGAAGAAAGAAAGATGATGTCAAGAGGGCACTAAGTTGTATCTTCGTTAATAATAGTCAAATCATCGCGTATAGCAAATCCAACGGAAGAGAGACGAATGAAAGGGAAACAAATGTGGAATTTTTCGAGAAATCAAAAACAAAGATGGCACCATGTCAGGAGGGTACTATGTTGTCTATTCGCTAATAATGATCAGATCGTCACGCACAGCACGTCGAATGTAAGGTGAATTTATGCATAATTCATTGACAAAGGAAAAAACAAACACGATGCCAACGGAACACTGAGCCACATCTTCGTTAGTAATGTTTGGATTTCAACATATATCACATCAAATGAAAGGAAAAGGAGTACAGATTTTATAAAGAGGACTCAAAGATAACGTCATCTCAAAAGGGCACTAGTTCACATTTCCGTAGACAGATTGTGATGTGAAGCACACATGAAAGGGGCATGTATGTTGAAATTAATAAAGAAAGGACATGGCGACATATCAAATAGGCATAAGGTGTAATGATATGATTCCGAAGTGCTTCTCATAAAGATGTTTAGAAGAGTACGAAAATTTGATTATACACCTTTGAAATATTTTTACGTTTCATGCAAAAATAAACACATCCAATAATGAAAAAATCTTATACTAAAACATTTGACATAAGTGAATTCTTCAAGGTTTCGAATCCGGCAAAAATAGGTCACTTCCACTTTTCACTTCCGATCGTCCGATTTCAATGACTTTGACATCATCATGAATTTGTTTAGATATCAAGAACGATAATTGATAACTCAGGACCTCATCACCTATTTCCGTTATACTAGCTGCAACAGGCAGATGTTGGTACTCATTTCAAATAATTTCATTTGTATATTATGAAAAATACAGGGTGTCCCTGGACTTCCTCTTTTCCTCTCGGGAATTGAATGTTTCAAATTCTTCTTCACAGCTAAACTGTTGAGGAGTTTCACTGATAATTATAATTTTATGGGCGAAATTCTTTAACACGAATCTATATTTAGCTGAAAAAACGCACATCGGAAAAAATATTTACTATACTAATCTAAAGCAAATGGAACTTCAAACGTTCAAGCCAGTCTCTATATACCTACACAGTAGGTTTAATTTGTTTACTGCCAGTCTTCAAGCATAGCCCATTGACTAAGAAGAAAGATACTATACTAATAAAAAGCAAACGAATAAACTACAAAAACGGCTGCACATGATCAGGTGAAAAATATCCAGGGAATAATTATGTTCCATTTCTTTCACAGATGTTGACAAAAAAACCTTTTAGAAAGTTTTGATAAAAAATGAGAAACTGGAATGCGATTTTGTTTTGTTGAGTGGTGCGTTGTCATATGACTATCATTGTATTGTCAATATTCTATAGGATATTTTGAATTTTTTTGATATGGCCGAACAGTTTACATTCAATGAATATGCAGATATGCATGTATTTTATGGACGAGCANTATTGAAAAATATCTGTCATTTCAAAGTTTTGGGGTGTGGACCATCGGGGGTAGTCCGTTCCTGACTTTGTAGCAAAACAACTGACTCCTGCATGAAAGCTCATCGAAGGAATTCATTTGTTTAGTCAATTACCAAAATTTGAATATGGCTTAGTGTCCTTCTGACATGTTGCGCCACATTTGTTTTTTTTCTGTCGATGAATTCCGCATTCATTCTCTTCTCAGTTGACGTGCTGTGCGTGACGATCCGATCATTATTAGCGAATATACAACTCAGTGCCCTTCTGACAGTTGCGCCACCTTTTCTTTCTTTATAATAACTCATTCATTTTTACAAATCATCACTCATTTTCTACCACGCCATCACCTTCTATGCTGAAAACGTAACTTTCAAAGTTTCAATGTTTCATAACTATCCTTATTATTCGACTCTCATTTACATCTAACACTATCAACCAAGCGATATTTGGTTCTCTCCATTCCGATTGACTGACCGACACCACTCTATATCATTAGTTAGGCTGAGTGTTCCACAAGGTTCTGTTCAGGAGTCCAAAAATTCGCAAAATGAACTTTCATACGACAAAGCATTGACTTCAGTCAACAATTCGCAATCACTTTTAGTATTCCACGTTGGTGTCGAGGCTAAAGACAAAGCCTACCACGCCGACGTCCTGGGTTCAAATCTCATACCCATAAACTTTTTCAATTAGGACCACGTGAGTGGTACGCGACAAGGAGCCCCGAGGGGTGGGGCGGAATTCCAAGGGGGTCCACGCTCTTTGAATCTCTACGATACTCATTCCATCCTTCTCTGCATCGATTACGTCACACGTTTCTCTCTTCCACTCACTAAAGTCTCTCTGAAATACTTACCAACGACGCATGACCTTGAAGTGGGCCAGAACCGGCCTTGCTCCTCTTCTGATAGTTTGAATTTTCCACTGTAGCTTAGCGTAGCGTAGCGATTGATTGACTGAATGATGACAAAAGTGAAGGAATAGGCTCTGAAAGTTTAAGGCCTGATTCACACAGAATGGACGTCTGTCAGATACGAGGCGCGGACCTTTGTTTATTCCGTGTGAACTGGGTCCGAGGTCCAAAAAGGGTCAGAATGGACCTGCTCAAATTTGCACTTGTTTTTTCCATAAGGAATGGTTAATAACGCTTTCTACCTTTCTCATAAATAACACCTGACGATTTGATCTCCACAAACTTCATTTGAAAAATATATCACGACATGTTTTGCTAACACAGTAGCTTTATCAACAGTTGTTTGAATACTACAAGTTGCTTCTTAAACTAATATTTATATACTACAGGTAATCATAATTGACTACCTCCAACCAATTACCTAAACCTCTACGTGAGGTACCTCTTCAATTATGATCACCTGAAGCATATTACCTCACTCCTACATCAAGTTAGTTGAAGTTAGTTAGTTGAAAGTTATAACGTATTAACGGCCGAATCAATCAAAAAATTTCTACCTTTCCTTAATAAACCCGAAATTGAATAATAAACTCATTCAAATTCAATTGACGAAATATTGAAACATATAAACAAAGTGGAATTATTTGAAGGTGACTTTCACTTCATATCACTTCACTTGTACAAAAACCGAATATCAAGTGGAAAAATCGTGTTGACATTAGCTCAGAAACAAACAGGAATAGCTGAACGCTCTGGTTGTTTCATAAATGAGGCACTAAGAATACTCACCGAAAGCCATAATACCAATTGCTGGAATAATATCCTTGTTAATGAACCTCCATGAATCTGGATGTTGAGGACTGAAAATTGATATAGGGTGCTGAGGTAACTGAGACCAAAATCTTTAAAAAGTTGTTGAGAATTTGAATAGAACTGGCCGATACTTGAAAAACGTTCATATTTGAACTCAATAATATAGTATATTGTATGATTTTCACTATAGAGACATATGTAAAAAATATGAAGGGAATCAGTGCATAAATAATTTTTAATATTTTGATGTCTGAATCGATAAATATTTCAAAATTCAAACTTTATTTTTGTAATATTCAATATCACAGTCAAGCATATTTTGATGGATTGTTCTGTTTTCCATGAAGCTACAATTCTTCAGCAACCAACAATATTGGGATAACAAAGTACGCCACTGACTTGTTATTGCAGTTTTCCATTTTTTTATGTTATTGAACTCAAAATACAGCTTTTTATTCGCTAGCGTTTTCTTCATATCTAGCTTCTACAGTGTTCTTAAAACCTGAAGGTAAATGTGATAATATATTCGAAGACATTGAAACTAAAGTACAAAAACAAATTCAACTTGATTGCACCAATCATGCTATTCGTAGATAATTCCATCTGTTCTTTTTTTGAAATAAAATCCCAACTTCAAAAAAAGTCGCAGCCGAAATAAGTTCCGATGAATCAATGCCCGATATTCAAAAAAACTTTATTGTGAGATTTTCACTAAACAGTTTTACAAAAACGCAACACGTGTTTCGCCATACAACAGCTTCTTGTAAAACTGTTTAGTGAAAGTCTCACAATGAAGTGTGTTTTGAATACGTTAGTTATGGATCTTCATCAAGTATCAGCCAATTCCATCATATATCATAATTGTTTTGAAAAAAATGACTGTCACACAAATTTCAAAAACATATTAAGCAGTAAAAAAAAATTTGGTGATGCTTGAACGAATGCAGTAATGGAGCAGTAAATGAAATAAACCGACTGAGGAACATATTCGGCGATAACTAAAGAACTAGAAAACGAATTGATATCAAAATAATATTTTAGAAAACAAATGATCATCATAAATAAAAAGAAGAAAATAAACATTGAATTGAATCAAAACCATCAATTTATTACATTACACAAGGCATATGAAATAGAAGCACGTCCGGAGATTAACCTGTGGAGATTAATAAGAATATGTATGTAACTTTATCTTGACATAAGTTATTTCAGAAAAAAATTACGTTTTCTTATAAAAAATGTTAACCGCGCATCCACGAATATTTTTACATATCAGTGTAATATAATAACAATTACACTCCAGTTTCCGTCTTAAAGTACTTGCACGTTTTTGTTAGTTTAGGTTTTTCTACCAAAGATACCCAATTGTACTTCAAGATATTTTATATTCTATAACTGATTGTTTTCAAAAAATGTTTCACTTACACTATGTCACTAATGTATCCAATTCTGACGAATATTGAAAATAGGATAAAGACTATACAGATGAGACTGAGGAAAGAAATCTTGGCTAACTTGGCAACATCTCTGTAGAGGCAGAGTGGAACAGAAACAAATATAGTAGCTATGAAAACTATAACTTCTCGTTTTGCGAAGAACGAATCAGATCCGATTCCTAGGAGCCTCATTATAACTTTGGTTACAGTATCCCCCACCACGATGTTATATGAAACCATAGCTGAAAAAGAAAATTGGGGAATTTAAAATATTTTCTGAAGAATAAGAGCCACTTTCATGATTTTTTCATCAAAAGACGCTAAATTTCCCATTAATCCTTTTATAATAAGTAATACTTCATCGTGAGATTTGAATTGGACAGAATACGAAACTGTAATCAACCGCAAAACGTATTTCAGTTTTTTACTCCTTGTCCTTCAAAAGATATTTAACAAACATTATCTACTTCAGAGAATGAATTCAATTCAAAGTCTTTTTTTAACCAGTGTTCAAAATATTGTCCATTTACTAACTGATAATACCCTAAACGTAACTGAAACTCGTTTTGAACATTTCTGATTACTTCACCGGAAATTAGCCTACACTCCTGTCTTAGTCGTTCTTTTAAATCCTCAATATTTGCCGGTTTGGTCTTAAAAGTTTGCTCTTCAAGTAACCCCATAATAAAAAGTCCAAAGGTGTTAAATCCAGAGACCTAGGTGGCCATTCATAGGGTCCTCTTCTGCCAATCCATCTGCCTGGAAATACATCATTCATGTACACACGGGCAGGTCGCGCAAAATGAGGAGGCGCGCCGTCCTGTTGAAACCAGATGTTTCTATTCGGGACGTCAGGTTCTATAGGACAAGGGAACAAAATAGCCAAATTCGGAACTAGGTCCTCCTGCAAGAATTCCAAATATCTTGTTCCAGTAAGATTTTCTTGTAAAATCGGTCCTATAACTCGATCACCATTAATTCCTGCCCAAACATTGATTTTTTCTGGATGTTGCGTGTGGCCTTCGCTCATCCACTGTGGATTTCTGTCTGCCCAATAACGACGATTTTGACGATTCACACCATTCAACATAAACGTTGATTCGTCAGAAAATAAAACGTTTTCTTTTTGTACAACATTCATGTCTAGTAAATCCATCATTTGTTCCCAAAACTGGAGTTTTCTATCTGGATCATCTTCGGTGAGTTCCTGGAAGATTGTTATTTTATATGGATGACATTTTTCAGCTTTAAGAACTCTTTCCACTGAAGACTGGCTAATTTCGAGTTCCCTAGCTATCTGCCTAGTGGGGACATGGAGATTTTCTTCGACAGAGAGATGAACATTTTTTTGACCTCTTCACTGAGCGCACCCTGACAATGATTATTTGTTTTTCTTATATGCCCATTTTCCAGGAACTGTTTTTCGATCTTGCTTACGGTACTTCGCGATAAGGGTGATAAATCAGGATACTTCTCTCTGAATAAATGGATAACTTCATTTTGTGTTCTTGTCCTATCTCCGTAGCCAATAATCATTAGAATTTCAATCTTATGTGTTTCAGTTAAGTACGGCATTTTACTAATGGCGAACAATAAACTGTGAAACGACTAACAGTTTTTGTGCACAAATATGATTGGAATGCGATACTACTCTCCTTACTTTTTTTATAACTTTTTTATGACAATGTCACTGTCATTCTAAGCATTTATTGAAGGAAGACTATTGAATTGAATTCATTTTTTGAATTAGATAATGTTTCTTAAATATCTTTTGAAGGACAAGGAGTAAAAAATTAAAATTTGGCAGGAATGTGCAACTTGTTGAACCCTTTAATCAAAGTCATTAAAAAAACAGGGTTGTCATTTAACAAATTATCGATGAAATCATATCTCATATTTGAGACACACTGTTTAATTTTTTTGCATGAAAATAAGGGCACTTTGAAATACTAATCGAAGTGTCCGAGCAAAAGAAACAACACCTTTGATTTAGTGAATTTGTTCCATGTTAGAGACTCGCACCATATAATAGCTCTTTCAAGCGTTTTCATACTATTTTAATGCGTGATTTATATAATAACTACGTAGTGAATGATAATTTTATTTTACCTGTGTTTATTTTACCTATGTTGAATTTTCAAACATCATGAAATAAAATTTCACCGACTCATTAAATGCACTTGTAATAAACTATGAGCAATTTGTGCTTCATATGAAACTTTTTTCATCGTTTCGGTCTAAATGTTTTAGCAAAGGATCTGGTGATTATTTTTTCTCTTTCTTTTGTTCTTACTACTCCTCGTTACTTTTAACACCACTTTCATTATCATCAATCACTACTCTCATCGTTTTAGCAACTTTTATTGATTCCTTATGTCTTCGTTCGCCGTTATCTTGTCCCGATTATATCCTACTTGTATATTACTGATTCCACTTCCTTTTTTTTCAGTACAACTATTTGTATACAGTGTACTACATTACACTTAGTGAATAACAATGGTATACTTAAGTGCCTGATTATATTTAATAGCTTCATTCAACAACTACAAATACAATTTGAAACTTGTTACCTCCTTTACATTTCAAAGATACTTCATTAATCTACTCCTTGTAAATTATCGAAGAATGTGAACTTTCACGGAGATAACTGTATGAAATCTATTTTCTGCGTTTTTTGGCCGTAGTTTGCAGCTTTTCATGCCTGACGTTTCGTCTGCTGCTGCGGTTGACATTGTCAAAGGCCCTGTGGTAACGGTCGCAATACCCGGGCTGGTGCTAGGGTTATCGTTCCTGTTGAATCCAATGCACCAAGTACTATTACAGTGCTGGGCGCTCTATTTATCGTTCTTATTTGTGTTACCTGAAATTAGTTTTTATACAATACGCGATTTGGTAAAATACTCACTATTGAACAAATATCATTCTGAAATTATCAGACCTTGTTGGTTTTGATAATACATTAACTGGTGCGATATACTTGAATTTTTTACAAAATTCTTCAATTTATTGATTGAAATTACTTCTCCCATATGTTCACATTCCTAATAAAATTAATACAAATATTCATTATCAGTAGGATAAAACTATACCAGATTTTTGCATTAAAAGAACCTATATATGATGAAAAAAGATACACAGATATATTTTCCATGAAATTTCAGAAACCACCCAAAACACTCGAGATACTTCGTTCTCGTTCCATACAAGAATCTCACAAGAATTTCAGAACTGCACTCCGAAATAGAAACTGCAGTGATGATGACCATGCATATGATATTTTCATATAAATAGTCTTCTATTGTTTTGACATTAGTTATTCATTACGACGAGTGTGTAGTAAACCTATCGTTAAAAATGGGTGGACATAGATGTCAAAATATCTAGTTGGAATTTGAAGGATCTTCATTTATTGAAAAACAAATACCCGGTGCTGGCTGATTTTACAGAGAATCACAAAAACGACACTCTAGACTTTTAAAATCTATAAAGAAACAATACTTTCAAAATGATATTCTCATCTCTGATGATCCAGATCAAACTGCTTGGAAAGTAATATCCGAAATGAACAATAAAAACAAAACAGGACACAAAAATTTCAATGTGTCCCGCAATGATATAAAAGTGGAAAACCCAGTGTTTGCATCTGCTCTGTTCAATAATTTTTTTTCGAATGTCCCGCTAGACCGTTTTCACCTAATGAATTATTCAATCTGCTCAGTGATAGGATGAAAAATAAAAGATCCGCAGGTTCAGGTGAAATATCCATTTTCGTTTTAAAAAAACCTTATGAATGTTATAATAGCACCTTTGACATTTTTATTGAATCTTTCATTCGAAACAGGGAAATTCTCCACAACCCTCAAGAAAAGAAAAGTCATTCCTATTTATAAAAAATACTGTCCCGATTACTTGGAAAATTATAGACCAATAACGATATGCAGTTGTTTCTTAAAAGTTTTCAGATATAGATTTTTGGACAGGCTGATGAATTTCATTTATGAGCATAATATTTTGACGAATAGCCAGCACGGTTTTCGACCTGCTAAATCAACAACTAACGCAATCTATGAGTTCTACGACAATCTCATAAACCATGTAGAAAAAGGAGAGGTCCAAATGTGCATTTTCTGTAACCTGAGTCGAGCTTTCGTCTGTGTGGACCACGATATTCTTGTATCAAAGTTATATAACTATGGTATTAGAGGTATCTGTCTGGAATGGTTAGAATCATTTATCAGATGTCGTTCTCAGAATGTGTCTGAAACATTATTTCAAAATAATATAATTCATAATGTTACATCTGGTGTGATATTTGCCTATGGGGAGACTCTACATTGTTGAATAACGTCCTCGTATCTCAGAAAAAAATTATTTGGTGTATTGCTGGTGTGAAAAAAACCACTCTTGTCAAGAAATCTTCAAAAGATTCGAGATTCTGACCTGTACAGGCCTCTACGTATTTGGAGTCTGCAGTTTTGGGTTCAAAAATATAAATTTGTTTTTCACAAATAACGAATACAACACAAGTCGTAAGGATTATTTACGATTACCACTCTCTAAACGCAATATTTCCTATAAAGCTCCAGCTCGAATCAGCGCAAAGATTTTCAACAACTTACCTTCTCCATCAAAAGCTTAAAACATGAACGTACTCTAAAAGAAAAGTCATAGGATACCTGGTTGAGAAATGTCTATACTCTTTAAATGAATACTTTCAACTCGAACTTTCCTTTAATGTGAATCTGTATTTTTATGAAAGTAAATATGCTGTGTACTATGTATATGCATATTTATTATGTAAACATGTTTCGTGATGTTATATAATCCTTAATGTAGGTACCGTTATTTTCCTTTTGTACATTTCTTCATTCAAATGTCGACCGTACTACCATGCGGTTGTAACCATGACTCTTTCTTATACAACTCTATATGTTGGCTTAAAGAAATAAAGTGATTTGATTTGATTTTGATTTGATGTGGGTGCTTCGTATTCATTTACTACCATTTACTGTTAGCAATAGTTATGTTCATACTCTAGTTGTATATTTGGTGAATAAATTGTATTTCATTGTATTGTACAATTCTTGTAAGTCAATACGGCATTTGCACATCATTTTCCTTTTCCTTAAATGAACGACAAACGTATACTGATGGAAAAAAGGGAGTTATACAACAATATCAGTGTCTTTTATATCAATCAAGAAAATATATCACTATTTATTCGTAATAAACATAAAAATTGAATTTGAAAAATTATTGAAAATAAGTTTTTCTATAAATTTACAAGAGTATATTTTCAGAAAAAAAAATGTAACTAACTATCGTTCAGATATGAACATCCTTGGTAAATGTTACAAGTTTAGAATTTCATTGTCTGAATATCTGGAATCTATGGTATAAAAAATGACATTAAACTGAATGAAATACTGAAATTATACTTGAAAATACGCTTTCAGAAGCAATTTTTGTTGAGCGCCAATTTCCCCTGAACTGATATCAAGCGGATGTTTTTAAAAAGATCGATTATCTTATTGGTCGGTACTATATTTCTTCCAGTATTCTATTCTGAACAATTGCCGCTAACTTTTCAACGGTTGGGTTGTCATATAAAATAAAATGACAATAACCATGAGAATTTCCCATCAGAGTGTGTGAAAAAATATGATACACAAAAAACACATTGTTCAAATCCTTATAATGAGCTATCAAGTGCAGTCCAGAATACGAATTCCAGATTGAAAAAAAATGTGTACCAAACTTCACTCGTATAATAATTACAGAAATTCTATGAACTTGGTTTAACTGTTGTTTAGCTGTTTCATTTCTCTGAAGGATATTTCAAAAACACGAATATTTCACTCACGTATTATAAATTGGGTGGGAAATGAACTTTTACAAATGCTACTCGACCTAAAAGTTATTTCACAATAATGTGCAATTTTCCAAACTCTAACTTCATTTTTGAGCAATCAGCAATAGATAAAACCACTTGTCTTACGAACTCTTGGCTTTAATATGCTGGTTGCTCTCATAGTATTACCCAATAATGAAGTTTTCGTTAAAAATGGCAATCAATCCATAAAATTTTAAGGTCTACTGGTATTACTTTCGAATCGAATTCGAGCATTCATTGATATATGAATTTATTGATAACTGGCGATTCTAACCCATCAATATGCCTAAATTTTGTCATACCAGCTTGTAAGTAATATTATTATCGGTGCTTTAATAAAACCCACTCGAAAAAAATATTCACAGTCATCGATTCAAATTTTGAAATAGACAAAACAAAAGTGCGATATCAGCCTTCAAAATGTAAAACAAACGAAACTTTATTCATTATGTATCGATTTATGAACCTACTAGAATTTATTTTCTCCCGCGATAGTGCAATAACTTCCTAGAACGGAATGAAGGGCAATTATAATGTACATGAAATGTTTGAGATAACTAACGTATTCATTTGATAGATCATAATATCGTGAAATAGTTTTCAAATTGATAAAAATTCAATTTTCCAAATATCAAAATGGATATAGAAAGCTGACCTTGAGAAATATACATATATCATCTTCTACTTTATTGTAGACCTATGGAAGAAAAACAATATGTATTGTAAATAATTGCTATAGATCAAGAGAGAAAGCGATGAAAGCTGCTGGGTAACATCACTGCCCCGACTTCCCACGAATAACATCGTGATATGTTAAGAAATTCATACAGTATCAATGATTTATATTCATAAACTCCGTTTATTGATAAAAACCGTATGAAAAATCGTTTAGTACTTTTAGAGTTTAACGTGTTCAAACAGATAAACAGATGTGGCGGGGAACTTTGTTTTATGATATGCAGTGATACTACACTGGCTATATCGAACTTCAACCTCCAAGCTGATGTACTCACCAACAAATGGATAGGCAAACTGAAGAATACCAAGCAGATAATACCCTGGTCTTCCGAAAGCAGCTTCCATAATACCTTGATAGGAGAATTTTCCACTAATATGTCCACTTCTCACCATCAGAATCAGCGAATAATCAGTAACAAAAGCCACAAGAACCAAAAGAAGGATTCCAAAACCAAAACCTGCCTCGTGAAGTGCATAAGGTATTCCTGAAAACAAAAGAATCTATATTAGTATTATGAAACGCATGAAAATATCAACCATAAAGGTGCCAAAAAAGCAAAATGATCTGAGTTCACTGCAATTTTCAAACTTAGAAGAGCGTGTAGTGTATTCATTATTTCATTCTGGAAGAAATATTCGAAGAGAAAGAACTTTGAATTTAATCACCACTATTTTTCAGTGAAACATAATTAGTTTATTAATTTGCTGTGGGTAGTTATTATTATCATTATATTTCCCATATGTTACTGCGTAAATTCAAAATATTTTTCACAAAGAAGAATGTTTCATTCATCAGTGACTTGAAGTATTCAATAATAGTGCTAGGGAATTATACATACCAATTTTTCTATTTTTCAGATTGTGGAAGGTTAATACCCAAAGAATATCGATATACTCTCTTCCACAAAAATTATTTTGTTCAGTATTCAGGTTTTTCTAGTTTTGAAAGTCTCAATATTTGAAGTAGAGAAAAATAACAACCACCAGAAGGAGTGGGACAAAATGAAACACGAATGCCATCAAAAGATAGGTTATGTTACGTTAGGTCAAAAGTCTGTGGGTCTATTCAACTCTACACCGCAACCCGCAAGTTTGTTGTGGCCCACTCCTATTCAAACTCGACCAAATAAACCCAGCTTCTTAACGAAGCCGATTGGTATATATGGTGAGTGATCTTTCAGGTCAGATGGTAGAAGTGTGGTTCTACGAAACTCTGAAAACCTGATTCGGTCCGCAACGGGGCAGGCACAAAGTATATGCTTGCTGTTTCATCATTTTCCAAACAGAGGCGACACACACTATCTTTTGACAGTCCAAGTCTCCTCATATGATGATTCAGACGACAGTAACCTGTGAGGAAGTCTGTTAGACATCGTAGTTCATCCTTACTTCAGTACAACAAATATTTGGTTTCAAACTTTGGAGAGTGAATGAACGCCTTGGAGTAAGCCAATTCTGTCTTTTGACAGAAGTCTTTGAATATTCTTATCATCCGATGACAGGTTCTGGTCCGATGAAGCTACTTGCAGCACTCTCATTCGCAAGGAAATCAGCAGTCTCATTGTCTACCAGGTCAGTGTGACCAAGAATCCACACCAGAGACAGTTTAAGTCTTCCTATTGGGGAGAATCGTTTTTGGCAATTTGTTACCAATTTGGACGTTGCTCGGTAGGAGCCAAGAGCTTTTATCTCGCTAATAATATAGCAATAGGAGTTCTGGCTCATTCCTTATGGAAAACACATGCAAATTTGAGCAGGTTCATTCCGGCGATTTTTGCACCTCACACCAAGTTCACACGGAAGAGACAAAGGTCCACGCCTAGTCTCTGCCAGACGTCCATTCTATGTGAATTGGCCTTAGACTTTCAGAGTCCACTCCTCCACTTTTGGCGTTATACAGTCGACCAATCAGAAGCTACCGCGCGTACAGGGGGAAATTGAAATCCATGTAGTAGATGAACAAAGCCCTACTGGCATGAAAACCCATGCATTTTCTTATGGAGCTAAACTTTTTTCAATTTTCATGACATCCGAGCAGAACCTTGTAGAACACCTAACTCGAGATAGGTGTTCATCCCCCGAGCCCCCTTGTCACATACCAGTCACGAAGTCATCGGCAGCTGAGGGAAATCCGATTAAAAAAAGTTTATCGGTATAAAAATTGGACCTAAGTCGTCGGCGTGATAGATGTTGTCCTTAGCCTCGACATCAAAGTAGAATATTGGATGTAATTGCGAATTGTTGATATTTATAGCGGTTGTTTTGTCGGGACCGAAACTGACTAATTTTCTATACTTAACCTCATTTTTAGATTTCCGTAGAATTTCAGGGAAATTGTAACGTCATTTCCTTGTAGAAGATAGGAAAATATATTTAGATTTGGGAAAGAATTGATGTTTCATATGAAAGTGTGTGTGTAAGATTGAGAGACACCTGTGACGTAATCGACGCAAAGAGAGATGGAGATGGTATCGAGGTGATACATCGCCAATGTCAGCATGAAAGGTTCGGTGGTTGTAAAATAAATCGTTGTTTATGGGATGACGTAGCGTTGCCGGTTTCAAAATTAGGCATGAACAGTTAGGAATACGACTTGATAAAAATTGTATGGTAATGAGATGACTAGGAGGACATTTTAACGTACATTTCAACAACAGAAGGACACTAAATGGTATCTTTGTTAACCAAGTTAGCATCATCAGGAGAAGCATTTATTCGTTATAGTTGTCGTTTCATTTTCTTTTTTTGTTAAACGTATATTATTATTAGGCGGTGAGGTTAGGTGAAAAAGAAGAAATAAAAAACATCATTTGAGGAAAAAACATGGCAGTTCAACAAGGCTGTAACGTTTTAACGTGGTATACCTCAATGTGTACAATGTGTCTCGAAATACATCATTAAAGAGAAAAACATGGCGTTGGAGTGTACAGGGTGCGTCGTAATACATACACTATTTGAGAAAAAAACAAGACAGCTCAACGAGGCTGCAACGTTTTAACGTGCGATCCCTGAATGTGTCTCAAATACATGAATTAACGCAATCAAGTAAGCACCATCAGAAGAAGAATAAAGTCCATGCGTTGTCATATGAAATTTCATTTTGCGAATTTTCGGGCTCCTAAACGAAATGTTGTGGAACACTTATCCTTACTTGTGAGCAATCTACCAACAATAATTCACCTTTTTTTGTAAGACAGATTGAAACGTCTGCATTCGTTTCCCTTTCATTCGACGTGCTATACGTGACAATCCTATCATCATTAACGAAAATGCGGCTTAGTGCCTTTCTGGCATGTGGCGCCATATTTGTTTTTTTCTTCGTCGATACATTCTGTATTCGTTTCACTCTCATTTGACGTGCTGTACGTGATGATCAAAACATTATTAGCGAATATACAACTTAGTGCCCTTCCAGCATATTACGCCATCTTTGTTTTATCTTTGTTGATAAATGCCACATTTCTTCCCCTTCCATTTGATGTGATGTCCGTGACGACCTGATCATTATTAGCGAATATACAACTTAGTGTCCTTCTGACGGTAGTGTGCGCTGATCAGGCCCTATCCCCCGATGCCCCGATACATTCGGGAGGGCGCGCCAGTATTATCAACCAATGATCACTCCCCACACCTGGGGTAAGTGATCATTGGGTCCGAGAATCATGTGCCCTGAGCAAGCGCAGTAAGCCAAGAATGACTGCTTTCTGCATCTGTGCGGCTAAGATTCCTGCCTTAGTGCGGCAAGCCGGTATGATTTTGAGATTCGAGAGTAGAGAGGACATCATTCCATTAAGGACTCCAATAAGGACCCTTCTTTTTTGACGAAATTCATCTCGCTAGGAGCTGAAAACTCCACGACAAATATCGTTTTGCTCTTGTGTTCGAGAAGGACTTCATCAGGCTTATTAGCTTGTATACGCCTGAGGGTGGGGAACAATTAGTTCCAATAAATTCGACACTTCTCGTTTCCCAAAACGGATTCAATATTACCTGGAGCGTGGGGCAACACCGGTGTCTCGTCAATACCGTAAGAGTGCCGTAAATGGTAATATAGCACTCTTAGGGCCGCGTTATGTCGATGGATACAGACCAAAACCGCATATGCTGGACATGCTGATGGCAAGTGCATTGGGATCTCGGGCGCCTCGCGGCAGGCCCTGCACCTTGTGTCAGGAACCTCTATACATATCGCGCGACTGCGGTAGACTAAGGTGTTGAAGACACCATCCTGACAAGCCATGATGAACCCTTCAGTTTCCGACGTCAGCCCACTCGGCCTGAGGAAAGCGAACGTCAGGCGCTTTGATAAGCCAATGTCTCCAATGTTATTGAAGAAGACCCCATGCATTGGCTTGTCCTTGTGTTTCCGCAGAAGTAAGGTGATATCTGCGACTTTTATCTGAGCTTTTTGCTGAACGGGTTCCAACTCGGTGACAGAGTTGTGGTTACCTCGTTCAGTGTCGAAAACTATACCGAGTTCATCAGCTGCTCGGGCAGCTGCCCTAAAGAGAAATACTCCAATTCCTGCTCTCTCATGGTCACGAACCATGCAGAGAAGGGGATCGGAACTCCTGACAACTTTACAGGCTGTATCCACTACCATTCTGTCATGTAGACACTCCAAACTCAAAAGAGTTTTTCACTGTTGTAACCTCTTGTGAGTGGCGTTGTTCCACCCCGAGGTAAGTATAAGTCTCTCCAGCATCCATATGGTGTAGTATGCTTGCATCTACGAGCTGCACATGCTCTCCGTAATCCCCGCATCGTCCTCTTTTGAGATGGACCAATGCACATTTGTCTATCCCGCATTTCATACCGAAAGCATGCGTGTACTCTTTCACCACCCTCAAGGACTGATGGATATCCTTCTCTCCAGAGGCATAAAGTTTGATATCATCCATATAAAACAAATGGGTGACCTTGTACCTCCGGTTTCCGGGGGTGTCACAGTTGTATCCTCGAGTATTTCTGAGCGCAATCGATAATGGTAATAGTGAGATGCAGAAGAGAAGGGGACTGAGGGAATCACCCTGAAATACACCCCTTCTGAAAGTGACCTACCCTGTTTGAACTCTTGCTAGACCAGATGTTATGGTGAAGCGAGTTCGCCAAAGTGGTATCAGTTGTACGATGCATCTAACTATTTTGTCGGGTACCGCAAGGCATCTGAGCAAATGCAAGATGAGCTCATGTGGAATTGTATCAAATGCCTTACGGTAATCAATCCAGGCCATAGAGAGGGTACGCTAATATTGTATCGTGTCCTGCGTTATACATCTATCGAATATCATGGTCTCTTTACATTCAGCGACTCCTCTCTTCGACTCTTTCTGCTCAAATATCCGTTCGAACACTCGGTCAACTGCGGTGAGTATTCGTGTCTGTAAGATGCTTGTAAACAACTTATAACACGAACTCAAGCATATTATTGGTCTGTAATTCTTAGGAATCGACGAATCTCCGCTTTTGGGAATGAGAACGGTCCACCCCTCGACAAAACAATCCGGAATCGGCTGCTATCCGTCCAGCCATGAGTTGAAAACTCTGGCCAGATGGCGGTGGGTGCTTGGTAGTTTTTTCCATCAATAAGTATTCAGCACATCTGGGCCTGGAGCAGCAAAGTTCTTGGAACCCACAAGGGCTCATTGAACGTCATCAGGGGTTATCGGGTTGCGCAGTTCATTGAGCTCAGGCTGTCGAAATTCTCTGTTGAAAGTTTTGAACTGCGCTAGAGCTGGAGTGTAAGTTGAGTGGCTGCGTGTTTTCATAGATATTCTTCCAGAAGGATTCCACCTGATCAGCGGTCGGCAGATTATCCACAACACGTGGAGGCTCTTGGAATAAGCGAGGTTTCTCGCGGAACCTAAGGTTTTCCGCTATACTTCTCACTCGTCTCACTAGTGACTTCTTAGCAGCCACTAGCATTCGTATCCTATCAATGCAGTGCTGTTTGGTGGTCAGCAGTACGCCTTGACTCAAAGTGTGATAGATACGTCGTAGATTGGCGGCTATTTCCGCATTGCGTTCGTGAATGGCCTATTGGCCGCCCTGTAATCCATCACACATTGGATACGAGACGTGTTGTCTCGCCGACGTGATCTTAGCCTCCATCTTGTGCACACGCCGTTCAATCTCCCGAACCGCAAGGCTGGGATTTCGTCCTTCCGATTCGAAAAGCGATTGGACGACGTTATACACGGCGGTGTTGATTTGCCAGAAGTCAGCCTCTTCTGTTAGAACACTATGAACCTCCGCATCCAAACAAGCCAGTTCTTGTGGCTTCAGGGGCCTAATCCTGTGGAGCGCCCTGCGTGTTCTGATTGACTCCATTGGTGGCATGATGCGAGTCTCCTCTCCAGCCGTGCCAATGGATGGTAGAAGTGTCACTTCTACCACTTCGTTAGCAGGCTGAGGAAGAGCTATATAGCCCTGCCGCCGAAGATAGAATACGTAATCATTAAGATTTTGGGCAGAAAAGGAGGCATGCTCCGGATGTGTTTCACACCACAGAGCATGCAATCTCGCCATGTACCCTCTTCGCGCGGGCTCACTACTCTCGTAGCAATGCATAAGGCTATCTCTCATTGGCTTCTAATGTGTAAATAGTGGGTGGTGTCTTTCCCAGAAAATCAACTGTGGAATGGTACTCAAATTGTTCAGCTAGTAGATTTGCTTTTTCTATGGCTGTTGTTGCAATTAAACCATCCGTTTGTGTCAGTGGTGGAATTGTGAATTCTCTCAATTTTCGATTGACAGCTTTAGCTACCGACCAGCAGGACCTAGACCTGTAGGGTTTCGCAAGCAGTTCTTCGCCTTCATTCATTGTGAGTTTGCAACTATTGCAAGTATCAGCTCAGCAAGTATCAACAAACCTGGTTTGGTTTTCGGTACTGGGATTTTTGCACCCCTAACGGTAGGCAAGCTTTTTGGAAGCAACAGTTTGCTAGCAATATTTGTTGAATTAAGTTTTTCCGTTGAAATTCCGTTTCACTGGAAAAATATACTATCATTCATGGATGATAGAATAACTTCCGTGACTTCAAAGGCACAAGTTGATGGATCATTAGAGCTGAAACGAACATCTAGCTAGGGGAAATTTCGAAAATAGTTTTGAAGATCCTCCCACCCAGCAGATCTGTAATGCCAAACTTCGCACGGCTTAGATTGTTTCCCAACATTTATTGGTGATTCATTCAACACTGAAATGAGTTTGTGACCTGAGTTTGAGATCCTTACAGAGACCATACGAGGACTATGTATATATTTGGATTGGTTGTTAGGTATAGATCCAGAAGACTAGCATATTCTCCATCATGTTAAGGAATCCAAGTCGGCTCATTTATAATATGAGTGAATCTGCTGCTTATTGCAGAAGCCTCACGCCTGGTTTGAGAGAAAATTTGAGCTATTCTATATTGTGGACATTGCAGACGGTCAATGGTGTTCCAAAGTAAAGAAATCAATGCCCTATATTGTGCATCACTTGGTATTCGTTAAACGCAGCATATGGATTGTGTGATCTTATGTGATATTATTTCAAACCACATAACATTAATGTTTTGGGGTTCCAGCATTTTCTCTCGTTGATAAGAGAGATCGTTCCAGATGAAATGAAATTTTCAAAGTAACGTCTGAATCGAGAGTGAAAATCATAGTCAGGATATATAAATTTGACAGGGTTTGTTGAAGAACTGACTTTGGTATCTGTGAGTGCAAGAATATGGAGACTATTTGTTTATATATGAGTTACGTCCTCTGATGTTGCAGAAATATATTTTTAAGTTGCTAGTGGTTCTCTTAGCAACTGCAGTTACCAAGATATTTACCAGTGAACTGTAGTTTTCGAATAACTCCTGCAGGATGATGCCCTCGAATCAGCTCCCACCCGGAGATTTGATTGATGAGCTATTTTACCTACCAAGTATATTCCTTGATAGTGAATCAGCATTGGCATTGTAAATACTGCTGTCGTTGGACTCTTGCTTTTGATAGTGTTAATATTCCAAACCCTCAAATTATTTTCTATGCTTTGTGGTAGCTTATCCCAAACAGATGCAATTTCATGTGATACACCTCTTTTGGTATATCGGACTGTTGTTCTCCACTCATTTTTCGCAATATGCTTACTCTGAAATATGCAATCAATGAATGCTTTTTTGCTCTCGATCCTACATTGGTGTTATCTCCATATCTTGTTCGGGAGAAATTTCAGACACAAATCACCACACCAAACTAGGTTTGAGCACATGTGATATTATTGATTGGGAAAAATTACCAAAACAATGAAAATATTTCACCACAGCGCCGCTTTATCCATACGCTTCTCAATGTGTTTCCGCACCATGTGCGTAGAATCAGGTATAACAACAATTTTTCAAGATACAAGAAATACAACAATTATTTGGAATTTAAAATATAGTTGAAATCATATTCCAAGTGAATGAAGGATGCTGAGAATTTTTTTTCTGATTGATTTGGCCGTTACTTGATGAATATCCATAGTAATTTCAAAAACTACACTTCACTATTTGATCTTCACAAACTTTGTGGAGTTTGTGGATATCAAATCGTGAGGTGTAGTTTTTGAAAAGATGCTGAGAAAAGCGTCAGGTTTTTCAATCATATTCAAGAATCGTAACATCCAGAACTATTTTTTTTAGATATAATCGTCGTCTGCATTGCTGGAGGTGTATTAGGAGTTAACCTCCTCCTCTTAGATGTTGATAGCTCTCCATCATTTCTGGTTGGTGGTCCACCATAATTCACTAACGTACAGGAATTCCACTGTTGACTACGTAGGTTGTCTCTACGAGTGAAACTTCTTTTCCACATTCGTTGCAAATATACATTCTCAATGAAATTATATGAATCAAGAGATTATTAGGAGAATATGAACTGACTAAAACACTCAGACCAAACTCTTTATGGAAGCTCATACCCACTTCGACTTCATGTCGATGACAGAGTCGAGTCCCAAGGTCATTTTTCATGCACATATCTCAAGGTCGTGTGACGTCCTCCAAGGTGGAATCCTAAGGTCAAGTACCCAAGACAGTCTCGAATCCCAGTGTCAAATTTCATGTTCAAGGTCATATGGCCTTTTACATAGCTGAAGGTTGTATAACGACATCCAAGGTCAAAATCGAGTAGTAGGGAGAAGTCCTTGACCGGCCTCAAGCCACCACTAATTAGCCACCCTAGCACTTCCTAAGGGCAAAAGGTCACCAAGTAAAGACGATCATTGTTACTGTATGGTCATCAGCAGCTAGTGTGACTCACTATAGATTTCTGTAACAGTGCCAAATCATCACATCAAAGTCCTATTGTGGAGAAATAGAAGAAATATATCGAAAATTGTAACAACAGCAGCCGGCTCTGGTCAACAGAAGATATTCGATCCTGCTCCACGGCAACGACCATCCGCACAGTTCACGAATAACATAAACGTTCAAAAGTTGAACAAATTGAGCGTCGAAGTTCAGCCTCACCCATCATTATTCCCAGATCCCACTACCGACTACCATTTTCTCGAATATTTCGATAACTTTCCACCGGTAGAACTTTCGCCATTCAGGACTTGACAAAAACGGTCTTCGTCGACTTTATTGGACCCCAAACACCCAATTTTCAATCTGGTGCAGTTAGTCGACTCATGTTACGTTGAAAAAAGTGAACTGATTCAAATGGTGCTTCTTTCGATTAAATTGAATAATTATCCACTGAGATGCTACAGTTGAAAGAAGACTCTTAAAATCGGAAAAACCTTTTGAAACAACATAATACCACGTTTATTTTTTATTATTACTTATGTCTGACCTTCCATTGACTTGGGGGAACTAACAACCTATACAATGTAAAATAAATATACATTCAAAATTAAAGTTGAATTTACCTATAACCCCACTGCCCAATATAGAATTAATGAAATTGAAACTAGCCCAGGGAAGTGTATTCGTTTTCTCATTCTCTTCTTCCTGGAAAAAATGCCGTCAATTCGCTATTATTTTTTCTCATTTTCATGAACTCACTGAAATCAGTTGTTTCATGTCATCAAAGGCATGCTCATTGGAGTCGAAGCTGCTTCCCTGAAAAATAATTTTGATTTTTTTGAATATGTAGGTTTCACTTGCAAATACTTGAAATTATAGTTTCATTCGGAATTTGATCGAAATAATTGATCTAAATACTCATTGCATATTCCATTACATATGTATTTACCATGATTTCATGTATTCACCGAATTATCAAAAAGCTCCGGAAAACACACTAAAAGGTATACCTTGAAACTTGCTTGGACCAGTTGGGTTTTGGAATGAGGGATTTTATAGAACTGAAGTTGGAAACAATCAATTATAGAGGGTTATCATCATATTTTTTTAAATTATTCTATTGCTTCTGAGTCTAAATGATGTCAGCAAGCACACTTTTATATATACGGGGTTGTAACTAGTTTGTAGGAGAAAATATAGATAATAAGAATCCTTACAAAAAAATTGTCAAAGGAAATAACTATTTCGTACTAGAATTATTTGAAATTGAAATAATTCGATAGCAGAGAGATATTTATTTATTTTTTTAATTTTACTTTATACAGGTAGTATCATTTTTGCGATCATGACTTATAGTGATGTGATTTATTTTTTTTTCTGTTTTGAGGGAGACTGATTTCTCTACAGTTAGTTGTCGGGAAATGAATTATAATAAATCAGGGGTGGAAAATGGCAATTTTTTTTATTTCATTTTTGATATCGATTAATAATTTTGCATTCAGTTTTCATTTGCCAAATGTTTGTGATATACCCGGAGATAATAAAAATAAAGGTTTTAGTTTGAGTCAGATAGTAAACCATTAGTGCAATAGCCACCAGGTTACAGGGTGAAAAATTAGAATAAATAAGCGCACACAATCAGAAGTTTGACTATAAGATAATATTCATTAATTCATGTTTTTATTTAACGAAATATAACTGATTTCTATTCTTTCTGAAGGGTTTTATGGTTGGGTTTGGAAACTCGTCAACTAATCAGAAAATCATGATCTTGTCTGCCTAGCCTAATTTGGTTTTACTGACCAAGCATAGAAATTTTGACGTGACTGGCAAGTTTGGTACCTGTTTTGGAATCTCACAGGCACCAAAGGACCTGTCAAGTTGGAACGCAAGTACCTAGAAATAAGCGGGAAATTTCTCTAATTGTATTATTAATTCATATTATTGTATGCCGTAGCTTAAGCTACGGTCGGAAGATAAAAGCAGTCAATAACAGAAGACGGTTGATCTCTGCTAACTATTATATTCGAGATTTTGCTTTTGGATGTGAGAATATGAACTTTTATTTTCAATCTCATATTACCAGGTGTATGTTGTTTATTAGTATTACTACAATAGATATTGCTCTATCCATGTTGTCAATTACTCGCCTGATCCATCCCATTGTTTCATGATTTGAGTGTGATGAACTTCTAAGAACTTTTTTTTGGACAATTAAAAAATCATGTGGCGCCCATTATAAAAGATTGATTGAACCACTCCCTTCTCCACTGGTTGAAGGTTAGCGGCAATTGTCCAAATAATTGGTAATTGATCTACGAGGTAACGAGTTGTTTTTTTATTTTTTTTTATTGTTTATGATTTGGAACAAATATATTTGAGGAGAATTTTGAGCGCTACAATTTGTTTTTATTTTCAGTATACCAGTTCAGTCGCAGTAATATTTTTGAGTTTCAAGGTCTTTAAGCGTTTATGTTTTCTTTTGGCACTCCGTCATTGGAAATAGTTCCACCAAACCTTGCAAAGCAAAAGCAGATCCTTACTAAAGTTGCTCGAGCATGTTGACCCTGTGCTGAAACCTAACGGTGACACCCTAGCCGTGGTCTGAAGGTAGGCTTAAATTCCAAGAGGGTGAAACCATCATGAGATCAGTCCGTCGGACTAGTGACTCAACTTGACCGTTTGGACCTCTAACATGGCAACAAATTTTTTTTAACATTCCTGCGAGACGCCCTCAATCTAGGGTGCAGTTCAACGAATTAGTTTCCGCGATCCTTCACATTTCAGTTCGGTTCACCCTGTAGGCCTTGGCTGAGAAAGTAGATTTCGCGATTCACAGTTGAAATTGAAAATTAGCCTAACTTGGATCCTTTCTCCTGACTCTTTCCTCGTTAGAGTCATTTTAGGTAATATTTGGAAACCGAAATGCAGACTAGGGTCAGGTAAGCGCGAGCGCAACTCCTACGTCATACAATAGTACCAAATCGCGAGGTCATAAGTTTCGACCAAATGAATCCTAAATGAAACATTTTCAGTTGCCTGAGTGCAACTTCAACGGAGCGACGTGGAACCCTCTAGGAATCTGTGCTCAGCAGAATTAGTATTCCACGAACTCCAGTGGGAGCAGCTAGTCTGGGGCTGTCTCCTGCAAATCATGTCATCCTTGTGTTCGAGGCCATAGATGCCTATTCGCTGGTCGCACAGCGACAAACTCCAAGCACTGATGAATTTCCTAGAAGACGTAAAGCTAGTGAAACCGTAATGTCAAAAAAGACGAGCCGGTCCTCAATTCGCAAAACTCGTCACGAAATAGGTTACTTGTGCTAAAGCGATTTAAGGCGTTAAATACTCCAAATACACAAATAATGGACTTGAAAAATCAACGAAGGGATCGTTAGGAGACGCCAAGGAATAAGACTGGACATCATCTACGAGAAATGAATACCAGGATAAAGAGCGAATTAGGGCTTCGCGTGATGTGGAATTTAGAGCAAAGGCGTTGATACCAAAATCGGCCGCGGCGACGAAACAGCGCTCGAAAACTCATGCAGAGAACACTCCCGAAAAAGGCAAACTAACAGTTTTCCACCTCCTGTACCGGCCTTTCTGTCCAATCGTGAGGAGCTGAGAGATTGTGCACGAAAAAGTGTTGTCTACTTATGTAATAGACACACCAAACATTCAAGTATACATGGTGTATAGTCATTCTGTGAATACAGAAAAATGTCGAGCAAATACACCATTATCAATTCCGACAAATAGGCGACGATATAACGATATGGAACATGAAGATGGAAATTCAATCGACGAAGGACAGAACGAATGCACAACGCACAGACGCGCCATGTGGTTAGAACGCGACCAGAACTGGCGCCCTAGTGTGAGGACTAGGGCGCCAGGCGCTAGGACAGCAGGAACTTGGTAGTGACTTGTTACGTGCCGGTTTCCCGCCAAGTAACATTGGGCTATTTTATTCTATGTAAATACACTAATATCAGTTCAGATAGGCAGCCCACACTACAACTGCCAAGTAGGGTTGGTTGTCTACCTTTGATTAAGAACATTTTGAAGGAATTTATTATTATAAACAAACTTGGTACTGCAGGAAAGGAAGGAAAGTCAAAATATCTTCATTCATTTATATAAAGAGATGAAAATTATGAGTGTAGAGGGAAGGCCAATATGTTACAATTGTCAATACTTACTTGGCATTCCTGTTTTGATATTCAATTGACGCATTTGGAAAAGTAAACAAAACCTAGATGTTGCCTTTGTCATAGGTGTCATTTGCTGCCTTACCCCTCAAAACCACTTTGGGTTGATACAAACACTGCATATTCTCTCTTGATATTTGTCATTGTATGTTATTTGAAACCTGTTAAAGATTCAATAAAGTTTTTGTAAAATATCAAGAACAGCACCCTTTGGTGGATTTATTCTCCATACTCACCCCCGAATTACTGAGCTATCCGAGTGGTCATTTGAGTAAACTTTTCAGTGACCAAAAAAAATATTTTTGTTACCAATACGGTTTTGGAATATACCGAAGGGGGGTTTAACTTTCATTCCAAAACCAAATTTCTCTTCCACCCCCGTTGAACGACGTAACAGACTTCATAGCGGCGCCAGTTTCCAAACCAAACAAAGAGACCACGATCATCAGACAGGATCTGAGCTCTGAAATTGCTGGAGCTCAGGTCTGGGAGGCCAGCTAGCCGCTACGGCAAATGAGATACGAAAACGGCCGGACACAGGCCTAGTTACCCTATTTTTTTGGAGGACGAAAAAGTCCTTATATTCTTGCACTTATAGAAACCAAAGTCAGTGTTTCAACAAATCCCGTCAATTTTCTATATCCTGGTTATGATTTCCACTCCCGATTGAGGTGTATCTTTGGAATATCTATTTTTACCCGAAGCAATATCTCCTGTCGAAGAGAGGAAATACTCAAACCTCAAAACTTCGATGTAATGTGGTTTAAAATAATATCACAATAGATCACTAAATTCATAGGCTGTGTTTATCGACCACCAAGCAAGACACAATATAGGTCACTATTTTCATTACTTATAAACACCATTGAATATATGCAGATACATCATCTCAGTTCCTAACTTTCCATATTCGATGACTTGAATGTCCATAATATCGAATGGCTCAAATTTTCAAATATTACCGATGAAAAAAGTCGCGGAGCTGAAGCTTTTGCAATAAGCAATAATGAACTAACGAGGGTTCCCGGCCGTGATGGAGAATATGCTAGTCTTATGGATTTATACCTAACAAATCATCCAAAAATTTACATAGTCAACGTAGGTTTCCATTTCAGTGTTGAGTTGATTATCGATGAATATTGAGGAACGATCTGAGCCGAGCAAAGTTTTGCATTACAGATATGCTGCGTGCAAAGATAGATCTTCGAAACCATTTCCAGAATTTCCCCTGGCTGAATGCTTGTTTCAGCTCTAATGATCCATCAACTTTTGCTTCTGCAGTCACGGAAGTTGTTTTATCATCCATGGATGCATATATTCCTTCTTCAATCAAACGAACATCTGAAGGCAAACCTTGGTTCAACACAAATTGTGGGCAAGCTGTCGCCTCCAAAAATCTCGCCTACCGGCAGTGGCGCAATAATCCCAATGCCCAAAAATGAACTAGGTCTGTTGATGCTGCAAAATTAGAATAAGTCAAAGAAAAAATTTCACAATCGGAGAATTAGGGATGAACTGCTTGCCACTTCCAACGGGTCTTGATCCTTCTGATCGGTCTACAATTTCACCACTAATACAAGCGGATGTTTCAATTGCGACAGCAGCCATAAAAAAGCAAATCTACTGGAAGCAAAATTGGCGTCCCACTCCACAGTCAATTTTCTATTCCCACACTAGAATCTATAATGTTTTCGACAACGTCTAGTCAAACAAATTTTGAAACAACTCAAAATCAAGAAGGCGTCGTGTCCTGATGAAGTGTCCGTCATCATATACAAATGTCCGTTATCATACACAAAAAATGCGCAAATGAACTCGTAACAGTAGTTTCAGGACTTTTCAATTTGTTTTACGAAGAAGGGATTTTTTCTTTTTGTTGGAAAACTGTTCGCGTTCAGCCTTTTTCCAAAAAAGCAAGAAAAATCCTTCGAATAACTTTAGACCAATCGCTTCGCTAAGAGGGGTATTGAAAATCATAGAGAAAGACGTGAACAAACATATCCTTATATATTTGGAAGGCTTCAACATCTCGAGCGATCGTCAATATGGCTTTCGAAAGCAATAATCAACGGACGACTTTCTATTGTATGTCACCCATATTTTGATTAACGCTATCGAGAAGCATGAAGAGTGAAGAGCTGTTGCGCCCGATATTTTTGAGGCCTTTGACCATGTGTGGCATGACTGTTTACTAGCCAAACTCTGATGCTATGGCTTGTCAGATCATTTTTGTTTTATGGCTCGTCAGCTTCCTGAAAGAACGTTCTCTGCAAGTGAGCATCGATGAATATCTCACGAATACTTTTACTATCAACGATGGTGTTCCCCCGGAATCCATATTGTCTATAACCTTTTTTTATTGTATATCAACGACCCATTGGAAAAAAGGGAGGATCCAATATATTGCTTTGCTGAGTATAGCACTATTCCATTTCGATTCCAGGACATTGGCTGCAAATGCTTATCTTCACCGGTAGCAGGAGGTTGCATATCTCAATGAGAATCTAGAAGTGATTTCTAATTGGAGTAAAACTTCAGGTTCAATTCAATGCCACAAAAACCCAGGCATCGGTTTTCTCCAAAATGATAAATGTCTCCGAGTTTGTTGAGGGTTAAAATGGACATCAATATGTTTTGACATGATCATGTCGCTGGAATTGCAAAGGCTGCTTTTCAAAAACTTGGAACACTGTTCCGAACCAGAGAACTATACACACCTCAACAACTTTTGATATAAATTTTGATGTAAAGCTCAGATCAGACATTCTTTGGAGTATTGTTCTTATGTATGGAGCTCCACCCCTAAGCATACCCTGAAGATGATGGATTCCATCCAGAAAGGAGACATCCGGCTGATTGGAGACACGAACATCACTTGCAACCTTGATAGCCTGGAACATCGAACGAAGGTTGGGGATCTGTCTCGTTTCTATAGATACTTCCACGAAAAGTGTTCTAGTGACATTGCACATTTGATTCCACCAACAGTGGTACATACCAGAAATACGCAACGAACTGTGGCTGCTCATCGTTTTGAGGTTCAAGTCAGTACACCTTGAAGTCCACTGTTCGAAAACTCTTCCATTTGGGGAACTTCGCTTATGTGGAATACACTACCTGAGAACGTTTTTCCAAATGGACTTAATCTACAGCGATACAAATCCAATGTGAATCGCTACTTCTGCACAGGCACCACTCTCATAGCGCCTTGAGGATTTTCCTGTAGTGCTGCTTGGCAAAAAAATCACAATGTATTTATACATAACAGTGATCAGCTGACGAATTTTGGAAAATGTTCTGATCTTTATGTCTGTTTGGAGTGTCCCTCGAAAAATTTGATGAGATGCTGTCCACTTACTGCTTCCAATTATGTTGTTGCATATAATTCATACAGGAAACCATTGATACATTTACGAAAAATATAGCCGCTTTGATAATTCCCACACAAATACTCAAGTGTTTAGATCCAATCTTAATAGTTCGTTTTGAACTGAACCATAGTTCAAGTGATATGTCCAGCTTAAGGAAATTATTCAATTTCTAGAAAAAAAACAATGTATCGCTAACGAAACAATAGCTTCTGCAAGTAGTAGGCAATCAACCGTTTGATAAAAAATGTTTCCGCTGAGAGTTTCAAACAAAACAGTATTTCTTATTTTTCGAACACCCGCACTAATAATCGTCCTTAAATTAAAAAAGAAGTATTGATTCTCTTATTTGCAAATGTCCGCAATGTTCAAATAAATCGCCCCAAAAACGTTTTATTTTTGATTATCAATTATTGGTGAACCAACGGGGAAAACGTAACATCTGGTGTCAGAAGTGGGATAATTGACTGAAATTTTACTGTTTTATGGTGAAATCAAGGAGTGTCGATTACGACAGAATGGAAAAGCTTGAGAAAATGTTTGGAGCTTTGCAAGCGAGCCTGGCGGACAATGAAAAACGCAGAAGAGAGGAAGATGAACCCAAAAAAGAAGAAGATGAACGTAAAAGGGAAGAAGATGAACGCAAAAGAGAAGAAGATGAACGCAAAAGAGAGGAAGATGAACGCAAAAGAGATGAAGAAAAGTTAGGCAGAAATGAAGATCGTGAATTACTACTGAATATTCAGGAAAAACCTGGAAAAAGACAATGAGGTGTACCTTCATTTATTGGAAGATTTAAAATATTTCCAAATGACTAAGGGGAAGTACAGGAATATGGAAAATTACAGGAAAATTACCGAAATCGAAAAGGATTACTGTGGAAAAATGCATATCGAAAACGAGATCTTGCCCTTCTAGCAGTAGTTTTAATAAAACTTCAATTTTCGATGGTAAATCTTCATGGACATTTTATCGGAAACAATTTGAGGCCGCTGCAGAAAATAATAGGTGGAGAGATGAGGAGAAAGCAACAGCTCTCATATTGGAGGAAATTCTGCAAAATATTCCAGTGAACCGGCAAAAGGATTATGAAGCAGTCGTATCAGCTTTGAAGGTCAGATATGGTAGTGACTACCTTCAACAAGTCTACCAAGCTCAACTGAAGGTGATAACTCAAGGACCATCAGAAAAATTGCAAGAGTTTGAGGCTGAAGGTTAGTAAAACTTGTGTACCCAGAAGCACTCGATAACTTCACCCAGTGGATTAGTGTTCATAATTTCATCGACGGGGTTCGTGACACAGAGCTACAGCAGTCATTGAGGATGGCACGTCATAAAAAATTGAATGAAGCCATCATTTATGCCGTAGAATTTATTTGGAACTGCTAAAAATGCTTCACAATAACAATGAAGTTTTAGTGAGGGCCATCAATGAAAAGGAAGACGAAAGAACAGATCGACTCATGATAGGTCTTGAAGAACTCCTTAAGAAATATATGATGAATGGAACTGCACCCTAGGCCAGAGGACGGCTTAAATGGTAAAACTGCGGCAGAGACGGAAATTTAAGGAGGGACGGTCAATCACGTCCAACATCCGACAAAAGAAGAGACAGGCGTTCGAGATCACCTGAACTGGAGTGTCGTGGTGTGGAAAA